GTGCAGGGGGCCCCTGGGGTTGGTCTCGTTTGTTTAAAACCAAGAAATTTTCCCCCGTGCGGGGGGAAATTTTTTTTTTTAATTTTTTTGGTGGGAATTTTTTTTTTCCACTTTTTTGCCTGCGTTTTTTTGCTTTTTGGGACAAAAAATTGGGGGGGGGGGGGGGCACACCCTGGCCCCTCCCCATGATAAAGCCTTGCAAAGGCAGAGATTATCAAAGTAGTAGCTCTCCAATATGAGATCATTTACAATGATTAGTAATTTTCACCGTTTACCAATGTTGCATGGGAAATTTGTTACCAGTATTACTGTTTCTGCTACATGATATCATTGTCAGCTGGGACAATAATATTCATTGTAATTTTACGTATCATTGTCAAGGAAAATTACAAGCCAAAGGTAACACCAAAGAAAAGTTGTCAGGGCAGATGAGTTATTTTAAATGAGGCTCAGTGGAAGAATCAGATGAAACTGTTGCACTGTTCTGAAAGAGTATCAATGATCACGATAATTGCTGTAATACTCTTTTCTAAGATAGCACAATAAATTAAGACTAGCCTGCAAGGGAGACACTTGGGAAATATACATTAGGGCACAAATAAGCCACAACAGAGGAGGACGCAGGTGAGCAGAGAGGAAGCAACTGCCTGAGAGGACTTCAAAATCGTTTCCTACCCCGTATCAAATAGTATGCCTGCTATATATATCACCTGTCAAAAAGATGACTTTCCTGTTGTTTTGATGTTAAAGCAAAAATGGAGAGGTCTGCAAGCTGGGTTACATCAGTGAGGATTATGGGAAAATTATGACTAAGACGAAATATCTTTATTCGTAAGCAAAGCACATCAATGTATATGAAGTGTGTGGAAAAGTAAGTTGCTAAATTATCAATCATTAGACAGTGTTTCATCACAAGATCAAACACTGAGTAAGGAGTTCAAAATATGATGCGCAGTGGAGTGGTTATGTTCTAGGCTTTAACGTGTTACCTGGTCCCAAAGGGGTTCCTTGGTTTTTCTTATGTCTTTTAATTTCTTTATCCCTTGAATACCTCTTGTAAATTAAAACAAAGAAGAGATTTTACTTTTCACGTTTCAATCTTGTGACTCTTTTTGCATGTTCACTCCCACAGGTGCAACTCAATATTTACTTATTGGTTTCAATTGCTTTTTCTATGAATCTGAGTAAATCAACCAAAAAAAAAAAAAAAACATTTTCATTTCATTTTTGTACCAGTTTTCAAATTTGTTTAAATTTACCTTAAAAACAAAGGTTACTGTTACACTGAGAGATTAATTTAAACATCAGCTTTTCTCTTCACCTTGGCTAACATACTGTGACAAATTCTCAGCTAGGTTAGTTTGGTTT